CCAAAAACGAGTCCTCTTAAAAATTCCTTCCATCATGGTAATGAGATTCCTTTTCATATTATGACCCTTTTAAATTTCATTCAAATATATTTCAATTCAGTTTTGTCTCTAAAGAGTTCAAGGCACTTTAAAAGGTTCTCAACCCCATGAGGTAAGCTAGTTCAACCAAGCGTGTGCACCCAGAACATCCTAGAGCAATCTGCTAAGAAAAACTCCATATTCTAATATTGCCCAAATTATCCTCGTCACATGTCACTGGAAATATTGAGCACTGTTGGTGCCGCCCTAGAGAAAATAAAGGAGAGACAAAATAAGGTTCATTGAATGGAGAGCACGTACCTTCTTCATAGACTTCTATCAGAAGTGTCATGGCAGAAAGAAGCAGTGACGTGAAGTAAAGAAGGAAAAAGTGTAAGAATATAAACACATTTATGCCTAATGGGTGGAATGGGTGAGTAAAGGGTGGAATGGAGGAAGAAAGAAAAGGTCCACGGGCACTTGGGGAAGCTGTGAGAATTTGAAAAATTATAATGGCAGGTTAATACAGCTATGAGTATGGAGCATTAAGGCAAAAACATTCTTGTCTGTGATAGTAGGTTAATAGTACTTGTTGTTCTTGTTTCTTCTCTCAGTATCCCATTCACACAAATATATATTGTCTATGTACATATCAGAGAATAGGAGGATTTGGAAGTTGTGTTACATACCTGGCTCATGAACTTCATCAGGTGAGAAGTATCATGGATCAAGATGTAACAAACCGCAAGAGAACAAAAACAAGAGTGACATGTTAATCTGAGGGTCTTTGAACTCTTCTATGAGAGTTTGAAAAGAGGAAGAGCAAAGAAAGTAGTAGGTCAAATCAGTAGTCACAGATGAAGAAAGTTAATAGGACTTAAAAGACAACATAAAAAGCAGCCAAACAGGGCGTCAATAAAGGTGAATTTGCCAAGTCATAGAATTAATGCTATTTTGCTCATGAATCATTTGTCAGCCTTGTATAAACAAAGAGGAATTCAGTCCTGTTCTGCAAATGATCACTTTGGATTGTCATGCTGACATCTGGGGAGTGAAAAAACAGGATGCTACAGAAATGCAGGTATCCTTTCAATCTGCTGGAGTACAGTAATATCAAAGAGCTCACAGAAAACTACTTCCAAGAAACCAAGAAGATAAGAAATGAGTGTTCCTCTTCTTGTTTGTTCTTCTCTGGTTAGCTGGTATAGTTCTATTCATTTATTTATTAGATTTAGAAGATGCCCAAATCCAAATAACTCTGGACAGCTTACATATTAAAAGTCACAAACAATAAAAGAACAAAAATATCAAGAATGTCTATAATAACACAATACAAATGCCCCCCACTATGGAACAACAATCCCCCCCCAAAAATAACTTACAGAGATTCAGTAACTATCTTGCCCCCAAACCATCCTAGACTATGTATATGTTAATAAATGCTCATTTTATATGCATTAATTCCCCGGGATAATGTGTTGCTTAGATTGTCATACTTTGAATTTAAAAAAAAGTTGTTCACAGTCCTGTCCAGGAAATCTTAGGCTACCTATGATTTTGATTTTAGCTTTTTAGCATCCAAGCATGCAAGAATATGAGAAAGCAAGCCATTGCTATGGTTATTTAGCAAATACTTCATTTATTTTTCCTAATAAATGGAAATAAAGATACTTCTGTAAATGTTACAATATTTATGACCAATAAGAGAATCCTGCTCCAACTGCAGAATCCTGCAGAAGGAAAAAAACCTCCAAAATTCATCTCTGCAGGACCACATAAGGCTAGAACCAATTTACAAAACATAAATGCTGTTTTTGCAATAAAACTTTCACAAGGAATAGTCCTTTGTGAATATATAAACTTTTTATGCAATGTAACAGCATACATTATTTGACGTATGAAAATCTCTCCATCTCATCTCATCTCATCTCACCTCATCTCATTCATGTCAAAGGGAGAGCAGGATTATGATTACCATCTCAATTACACTCTCCCTCTATGATCAGCATAAATTATGAGAAACCCTATTTTTGCTAAAAGTATGCAGAGAAACCCATACTAGCACCTCTTGGCTAGGCTAATTAGGAATTCTGGAACTTGCAGCCCCAACACACCTGAAAGGCACAGAGTTGGGGCACCTTGGTGCTATGTGAACAGAGATCAGCCCCTCACTGATTCTGCAATGTTCTTCCTGATTCTATGCCTTTTTCTCCCTCGATGTTCCATGCAGCTCCCTATTTCATAACCTATCTCCTTATATGTAACATGTTAAACAGCATTATTTTCAAATCAAGGATGTTATGGGAGTATCATTAAGACCAAGCAAGAGTTATTTTCCATTTCTTTGCTCCACCTTTGAATTCCCATACATGCTTCTATTTAAAACAATTGGAGGAATTCAGAAGTCATGCCACATACCTGGTTTGGGTGAAGCACAGGTGTCAATAGGGGAAAAGGAGGATGAGACAAATAAGAAACACAGGGTTGTTACAATAACCTTAAACTTTTGCAAGCCAGGGTTGAAATTCTTAACTGATAAGTATGTTTAAAAAACAGAAAACAAACCAATAATGTGTGGGGAGGCAAATGAGAATGAAAAAAGGCAGGGCACGCATATGTGTAAAGGGTAGAGAGTGGTTGTGGAGAACCACACAAATGACTCATAGAATAATCAGTTAACAATGAATTTTATAAATATTTACTCTGAAATAAGTCATCTGGAATTCAGTGTGATTTTTTCTGAGATAAAATGTATAGAATTATAGCCTCAGATGCCACAATTCACATAATTTTCCAATATTTACATAAAATAATTATTTACATTTTTTTTTATTCTTGCTATGACTTTACTTATTGCCTATATATCCCATTTTTTCTTTGGGCACTCCAAGTGGCATACATGGGAGGCTTCCTTCGTTTTATCTCAACACAACCCTGTGAGATAATTTGGGGTAAAAGATAGAGGCTGACCCAAGGTCATCCAGTGAGTTCTATGTTGAGTTAGGGACTTGAACCAACATTTCCAAAACCTAAGTCTAACACCATTACACTAAACCATGCAATTCACACATGGTAAGCCATCTCTAAATGCAGCTTCTGAAAAGTTTCTGTGAAGGATGTGACCCTGGGCCAAAAATGTTTCACTTTTCCAGTTCTAAAATTTTCAGCTAAGAATCCTGTGCTAAAAATTATGCCATTGTCAATCATTTTATATCCCTAAGTCATTATATAAACTTTTGCTTTATATGCCAATGCCAAGGCTTTATGTCCTTGTGCATGGTAATGGCACAATTTATAAGTCAACAGAGAAAGTCAGGGAAGAAATAAGATGTTAAGGTAATGTGTTGCTCTCCTGTTCTCTTCCATCACCTTCACATTTCTGCACACACCAGTATGAGATGGAAAGAGAAGAATTCAGAAGTCAAACCACATACCTGGTTCATGAACTTCACCAGGTGGGAAGTATCATGGATGAAACAAAATTGAGACAATAGAAAACAAGAATATTAGAAAAGGGGAAAAATGCATAGTGTTAAGAAAGACAATAGCTCATTATAGGAAAGATAATGCAGTTAAATTTTTTAAAATGGAATTATGGTATGCGTATTACCAAAGGCCAGATGCTTTACTAGAATGCAGAGCATGCAAAGGCAGCCTAGGAAACATAAATATCAAATCTTGCAGAAGATTTGAAAGCCAGTAAATGCTGATAGCTTTGAAGGACAGAGATATATTTTTCAGATACTAGGTGAATTCATGGGGAGTACATCTAGCTCCACAGTCTACGTCTGCCAAGTGTTCAGTTTATGCCATTCCCTTTCTCACACACACACATATCTACTTGCTCTCAGAGAACACAGAGGATCATAGCAGTAGCAATTTAGCTTATACTACTGACACACAGGAACTCCGAAGGAAAGAGATGGGCATTTTCCCAGAACAATTTCTGTTTTTTGTTGCATGCGCAGTGCCCAGCCAGAACCAGGAGCAGGGGCTATTTATCTCTTCCTCCCTTAAGCTTCCAGAACTTTAATCACCATGATGTAATGAGAATTTTGTTACATTTGCTCTAACGTACTCACACAGTTGCCTTTCTGGATTTAGTTTCATTGTCTGAAAATTCTAGGGATCAATTATTAGTTTCTGTTTCTTGCTGCAGACCAGCTTCAAGGGATCACTTTTTGAATCATCCCAACAACGAAAGAAAGAGAGAATAATGAAGCTCTTAGAACTCCAAGACCTCTTGTGCAATAGCATGGGCCATCATAGACCCAGTGCTGTTTCTAGCAGAAATGTTTATACAAATATTCCTTATCTGCAAGACAGCCCATCATCTACATGCCTGAAGATCAGAGGCATCCAGAGTGGCCACCACTGGCTTCAGAAGGCAGGCAGGCATGACTGAGTGATCAAACTCTCATCACTCTGTGCATGTGAGGTATGCTAAAAAGGGTGGGGCTTTAACTGTCCAGTCCCCCTGCCATTTTGAAATTAGTGATCATTGCTGTAGATGCCCCAATGACAATCTCTGCGAGATGGCCAGGAGGTACATCAGAAGTCCATCTACAAGCAATCCAGGAAGAAGCAGGAGTGTACACAGAGAAGAATTCCCCCTTCTACTAAAACTTGAATTAACAGTTGCAAACACCAGATTTCACAGATCTATAGTTTTGAAGCTAAACAAAAAGGCACATATATTTAGGTAAACAGATAGCTCTAAAAGCGTGGAAGTTTCAGCCACATGACAAATGCAGAGCAAATTTGATAGGAAGATGAACTGGAAAAGGTACAGCAGGTGTCCATTTACCACATTTTCCAAATCTCATATCCGTGACAGATTCACATCTCATGCAAAGCCATTGTTTGTTTAACCATGGTTTGTTAGTATAATGTACAAAGTCACTGTTGAAGATTACAAACCACAATGGCTGAATTCATATAATGCACTATGCCAAAACCACCAAGCCATCTTATGCCTTAGCATAATATTGAGCCTCCTTGTTTGTATGGTGTACCCTTCCTTCATATTCTTCAGAAACATATAGACCTCCAAGCTGCTGCAAGCACGAGAGCTCATCCCAAGATAACTTGGCCATCTATATCAGTTCACAAGCTCAACATTTGGACTGCATTTTGCCAGAAATTCATGTAGGACTTCCAGGAAGCAGCTAGTTATATACCTGATACATCTAAAGCTAATTATGGCAACATAATTTTCAACCATGAATACATAAATGAAAGCTGTCATGCAAGAAGGGAAAAAGGGGAATTTAAAACTCCAGTTTAACATTGTTTCACTAGCACTTTCCTTCATGTATTTCTCAAAGAATGATTTGAACATCTATTATATTGTAATTAGCAGCAATAAATCAATGATAACATCTGCTTGTTCAAAGGAAAGAAAATCTAAACTGTATTTATCTAACCAGTTAATACAGAATGTAATTCTTTGATTCCACATGTATTTTAGTTGAAATCAATATAAAATCAGTCACTGAATGTAAGTGACCTACCACCTCTCCCATCCTCACTAGCCAACAAGCCCACCGGTCATAGAATTTGAGAGTGACAGGAGCTGTAGTCCAGCAGATCCAGAGAACAATAAATAGGGGGAAACTATTTTAACATTTATTATTGGAACAAATAATCAATCAGGTCACCGAACCCACCAATGTCTTGGAGGTCATTAACCCAAACATGATTATCCTCTAAGG